TTTTTGGGGGAAGAGAGTTGATGTTAAAACCGTGTTACGTTTCCGCTGGTTTACAAACAACTTTGCCAAGGGTACTTTCGAGGAATCCTTGGTTTCATACATTTAATGGAAATAGCTGATATTGTGATAAACGTAAACACACATCGTTGTAAAACTGATATTAAGAATGTTTGAAAACATATCATTTTAAGAATAGCATGTTGGCTTCAATATCAGCTATGTCGACAACCTTTGCCACTGATTCTAGTGCAATATCTTTTATTCATATATAGGGGTGAATTGCCTTCCATTAAAGAGGCATCCTGCACTGTAGAGATGATTTGTTGAATTAGGAGCAGGATAGAATACAATTTAATTCACAGGCCAGAAATGGCATCAGAAGCATTTGGGTGACCTCGTTTTATGTTCCTCCAAGTTTTCTATGGGTTTAAGAAATGATATTACACAGGCTTGTTGACTGTGAGCCACATAACGCAAAACTATATTGCCAATACTACACTCTCTGGCTGAGTTCGCGCGGCTTGTTCTCGTTTGTTCACAAACAAATCCATTTGTTGTTTGTGGGTCTGCCTGGGCTGGTAGTTATGGCAGGCAACATGCAGCATGGCGGCGGCCATGTGCGTTATTTGAGTCTTAATGTTGGGATGGGCTGAATTCTTTTCTATTTAAACAGGAACATCCACTTCTCTGCTATGGAAAATAATTAATGTTAATTTTGCAAAACTTCCCATTGTCTGTGGCTGGCTTTAGAAGCCATTTCTCTCCTTTTTGCTGCTGATCAAAATCAAAATCTCACGAGTTTTTCCGTGTGTTCCTGTAAAACCCTGACGAGGAGGTGGTGTGTGATCCTGTGTCGAGAACAGTTTTCTTCAGTCGTGTTCGCGCCGTTTAAGCGTGAGAACAAGAAACCTGTGTCAAGAACAGGCCGCCCGAACTCGACCTCTTGGTTTAAAAATCCATTGTACGTTGGTCAAAGCTTTATCAATGCACAGAATTATTTGACATGCACATACATGTACATGTCCATGCCTTTTTGCATTTATTTACAACCAGCAAGTGGCACACCAATGGCAGACAATGCTTAATATTTGAAGCACTTCATGCAAACTTACATGTAATCATTTTTTTTAACTGTCCACACTGCAATTTAAAGCGACATGATCAAATGAATCTTTTATTCCGATCTCTGATCTGATTGTGCAGTTTTTCGTGGGGCCAGCCTCAGCTTTAGATACAAGACATAAAGTGACTTATGACCTCAAATTTTGTTTTAAAATGAGCCTCTTTGATAAAAAAAAATGTGTGGCTTGGTCCATTTGTAAATGTTAGATGCACATCTAAGTTATTTCTTGGTGAAATATAATTGGCTTAAAGTTACAAAAAATAGCCTTTGGCTCACTTAACTTTGTTACATCAAACCATTAAAGGATAATTGCTTACCCCCTCAAAAAAATATATATATATTTAATGGGATGGAAAAAACTGAAGTTTTGTTCAAAAAGTAGCAGCATTTGGAGAGGGTACCCTCCCAAAAAGGAAACAGGTTACAATAATTGACTGATCTTGATTGGTTTGACAAACATATACAATTTCTTAGCTTCTGTGCTCTAAACACCTTCCGTGGGTGTCAAGACCCAAGATACATGTATATTTCCACCATGCCATTATTACCATATTTCAACCCTAACTCCCTAGGGTGTGCGCAAAATCCTATTAAAATTGGAGGATTCAGGGCTGTTAGGGTTAAGTGCAAAAAGAAAGCTTCTTCTTCCATTAAGTTTTGTATAAACTTCCATGCTTTACAAAACAATACATCAGGAAATCATCATGGACATATTCATTTAATTTTAGATTCCAACTATTGGATCAAGCCACTGGACCACAATCTTGATCAATTCAATGCACAGCAGCTTTGTGCACTTCATTTTAACTGTAATCCTATCTTTACAGTCCTGACCCTCAGATTTGGTTGATGAGATCCCGTTTGGAAGCTACGTGTATTTTGTATTATATTTGATATGCATGTGTTCTTACCCAATGTCACTTTTTGTGTCATAAAAGAGGTCTTTTCCTTTTACATTTGACCAACATAAATTCAGTGATGTAAGGGCTGGTTCACAAACTTGTCACAACAGTGCACAAAACAATTAAAAGCGGGTGATATCCAAACTTTTAAACAGTGGGAGCTTAGTGCTGCATTTGATTGTCGATAGCACGGATTGCCACGGTACACCTGCGTGTACATTTGCAACCATTGCCTCAACCAGTTGGGTATTTTGTCTACTGCGTCACTGAAAAAAAATATGCATGGAGCTGGTTAGTCTTCAGTCTTTGGCAATACAAGTGCAACAGGTCCCAAACGTTCTCCACCTATTGACATGCAATGTTTGCTGCTGAGACAAGATGCTGAACAAGAAGACGATTTACAGGCTCTGATTAGGAGTTACTCTTTTATGACAACTGACTGAGTACAAACAAAAGATCACATAAGGTAGAGAGTCCTTTCTTGTGTCTTTTGCCACAAAGCGTCAAATTGGTGATACTTTTGGTGATGAAAGTGTACAATCAAATGCATTTTATTCATTTTTTGTTTCATTTGCAGAAGTTCAGTTTTGAACTTAACTGACATTTTCACAGGATACTTTATCAATGGTTGACTATTACAATCATTTAGCCAAACTTGTTTCATTTTATGATCTGCACCCCACACTGGGCAAATGTCAATCTACAAAAACAAACTGTTCTGCTGCTTTTGTTTTCTGAAATAATTTCAATTTGCATCATCTGCATGTGGACTATAATTTTTTTTTTATTTTTTTTTAATGATCACACTTTGAAGATTTGACATTTAGGTGAAGAACTGTTTGGGACATGTTGCGTGTTACTAAAAAAACAGTTTATCGTTTGGGCCAAGTAAACCAAGCTATTTATGGACCTGAAAGATGACTCAAGACTTAAACAACGTACTACAGTTGAGGTAGGATGACACCATATGACAAGATCTTGTGAATCTGCTGGCATGTAAGGTTTGCCTTGCTTTACCTGTGACTGATATACACTTACAGTAAATGAAATGACCGTCACAGAATCAGGGATTTCTTATTCGCTTCTGCTACACAGCAAAGCATGTGAGTATCAATACTTGGCATCCACTATGGCACATATGCACTCCAGGTTCTAGCAAATTGTATTTGGAACAACTGTGGCTCAGGTGCAGACGGCATTACAATGTGCTATCACACTACACTGTGCTGCATTCAAGCACACACTGCAACTCTGACACAGGTGGGAGTTTTATCCATTGATGTGCCTTGTATCATTCGATGTGATGCCTTTTTCATTAATGACGGCAGCTAGATACAGGCTGTTTCTCTCAGTCCTGACAATCAGGTTTGTCTTTGGATGTAGCAAGTCACAAACATGACTTCTCAGAGCACTGCCAATGGCTTGATTTTACATGTGGTTAGTTTCCAGATGTTTGGAAAACAAGCTACGAGGGAACAACTTTTGAGTTCCATATTCCAGAGTGACACTGTCACTGAAAGACAACTCAGAGCAGATTTCAAGTGTAGCAAAATATGGTATTAAAAGCCAGCACTTTCACCAAATTTCACTGTCAATACCTACATCAAGAATTTCCCTACAACTCAGGTCATCTTTCAGGTAGTCTTTTCCTTTCTAAGGGCCCATTTACACAGACAAGTGGTGGCAGGATTCCATGTTGTAACAATATATAGGCCTACACTGGTTTCCTATGAGACTGTTTACACTGAGAGCAGACAAATTGTACAAGAGGATGACAGACTGCTGAATTCAGAAACCTGAATGATCTTTGTGCTGAAAAAACAGGTTCTGGCCAATCAGTGGACTTGTTAGGTATGACATCACAGACTGGCCAATCAGTTGCTGGGCGAGAGTGGACATACACTCACTGTGCCCTCAATTCTTGGTATGGGAACCACTGGAATTGTTGGAAGTCACCGATGTAACCATCTGCATAACGTATGGATTTTCTGGAAACGTATGTCATTGCATAACAAACCACGTTTCTGTTGCCACTCGTCAGTGTAAATGGGCCCTCATCACACAGTATTGCCAAAGACTGAAGACTACATGCACAGAGCCATTGGATCTTATTACACAGACATACAGGCAGCATGACTCCTAGCCATGAGACACACAATTTGGGACTTTGGGTTCAATGGGCAAGATGTGAGGATGTACAACCTTGTCAATCAGTGCATGAATTGATCCTCCAAACTCCAATTAAGCTTACCATGGATGCCTTTAGGCAGGACTGGCTCCCCGTGTCTGACACCACAGCTTCTTGTCAGGATGCAGAGGGCATCTTGTCCACCGCATCCATCATCTGGCAAGGAGGCAGTATGGTTCCCAATCTCTGCACGACTTCTCCTTGTAAATTCAAGAGTTTGGCCTTTCTTTCTTTTCTTTTGCCTTGCTGTTCCTGTTTTGATACTACAGAATCTTGTAGATTTTTTTTTTAAATGAGCAGGATATTTCATTTTCAATTCAAATTGTTTAGATGAACTTTCAGTTTACAACGGCTTCTCAATCAGGAATAGGTTTAAAGATAAAGTTTTGGCTTTTTGGGAATACAAATCAGAGTATCTCTATGGCAGCAGGACTCTTTTTGGATACTGGCTTTGAGATTAAGAATGCAGTATTTTTTGCAGTTACAAGAACTATTTTATGAGTGAATATTTTACAAAGGATTTATATAGAGAACATGTGCTTCCAAAAGCAGAATGGTTGGTTTTCATGAGTTTATGTCAGTGGCAGTTACATGGCTCAAAGATAAATCAGAGCGGATTTCTGGCACGGAAAGTAAAACTACCACACCTTTTTCTTTTTGTTAATGATTATTAATTTTGTTAATGCTCTCTCTTTGAGACGTTTTTTTGGGGGAACATGGTAACATAATACAATGCAGATCAATCTAGGAGTTGCACAAGGAAGTTATCAACATGAACAGGAGTTACGACAATTGTCCCAAAATTCACAACACTGAGAAACATCAGAGATAACTCACAAAAAGTTAGCGTGGGTAAACATCTCCTCTGTCTGGCTC